GGGATCATGACCTGAGCCGAAGGCAGACGCTTAACCGACTGAGCCATCCAGGTGTCCCAATGATGCAGCATTTCTGAGTGCTTCTCTATCAGACAGAATTTTTTATTCCTGTTGCACGAATAGGTAATGATAACTATGCTGCACTTTCTATCAGGTCAACAGCAATTATATAACATTTTCCTATTTAAGAGATGTTAAAATGTGTATGGAGGAGTAAGGGGGAAAGTGGAGGTGTATTTTAGAATCAATTAAAAACAGAAATATCTATTAAGATTAAATGGTAAGACATGTTAAATACCTAAAGACACTGGCTAACACAGTTTCTGTGCTCAGTGAGTCGTACCTACTGTGTCATTATTAGTAATAGCAGCTATCGCTCACTATACACTGACATATAATCAAGTCAGGTTAGGGTGAGATACAATTCATTTGGCTTCTCCTCTCCCACCCAACCACTCATAACTGCAAAACAGTACAGATCAAAAGAAAATGGGTCAATAAAACTTTTTTTGTCATCCTTAGAAGCATCTTTCTCTTTAAAAACTAACCAATTAAAACTGACGGAATTTGACCTTGAAGAGAACACCTTTCCCAAGTTAGAAGCTAAGTTGTTTCCCCAAATTTTTGTATAGTGTAAAGACGACAATAACAGAAGCTACCATGTGAGCATCTACGATGTGTTGACTACTATGTGTTTTTTATGTTTTTTTTTCTAATTATAACAATAATGCTGTGAATGTATACACATTTAACTGAAAAAACTGCAAGTCAAACTGAAGAAACTTGCCCAAGGCCACACAACCATCTTGCTAATAAGCTGAAGCCTGAATCCAAGTGTGCCTGACTTAGCAGCAGACTAACACTGCACTGTGCCAAATTACTTCACATTATGAAGACTCTAGACACCTAGATCATCCACACATTTGGTTCAACCCTTATCATTTGACTTCTCTGGACCTCCTCAACTTCTAACTATAAAAAGAACTTTCCAATGTCCTTTGCTAATCTGAGAATCAAAGATATGATTCTTCAGCAAATAAATTATTTGCTTTAATGATAAATAAAAACAACACAAATATGTACAAAATTATTTGGTGCCAAGAGTAAGAAATTGGAAAAATTAAAGTGTTTAGCAACAGGTAATTGGTTGAATAAATGTGCAGTATATCCACACAGGGCAAGAATACTGATGTAAAAAAGTTATACAAATACTAATAGGAAGAGGTCTTCAATATATAGTATTAAAGGAAAAAAGTAAAGTATAAATCAGTTTATGCAATATGTTACATTTTGCATTAGAAAATGAGGGAATAAGCATATACCTTTTTGCTTGCATCTATGTTAAGAAACACTAAAAAGATAAACAAAACACGCTTACCTATAGTGAACAATGGGGAATGGAGTGAATGGAGATGGCATGGAAGCATGAGTTATCAGAATAAAAGCTTTTATATCATTCTAATTTTGGAACCATGTAAATGTTAAATATTAAATTAATAATTTAAAAACCTGGATTTTACCTTTGCTACTTGAGGTCTTCCAAAACACGCAGCATAATGTAATGATGATGACCTCTGACCCCTATTAACATCAGCACCTCTTTCACAAAGAAATTCTACCTGTAAAATTATGAAGAATCATAAAGTTGCCTTATGAATAGTTCTATCTTTGATTTAAAACACTAGTTTTTATTTATTAGCTTACCATTTCCTGAGTTCCAAAAGCAGAGGCCCAGTTTAATAGAGTCTGACCCACATCATCCATAAAATTTACTTCAAAGGCTGGAAATTTGAAGGAGAAAAATAAATTTTTAAAACTCCAACAAAATAATACTGAACTCTTCTACAGTGGAAACCATTAAAAGATTGTTACTAATAATCACTACATACAGATTCAATTTTAAACATTTAGTTCAACTCTACAGTAGTAAATAATCCACCAACAAATTCTGCTAAGAAGAGGTATTCTAACATTTTTAAACTACCGAGGATTCACAAGACATTAAGCCTTAAAAATAAACGTAAAATAAGGAAGAAAAAAAAAACCCTAAATATATAACACAATTTAACAGAGTACTAGTATCCTTAAATAAATAATTTCATTTACTAATTTAGTAGGCATTTACTCAGGTCTTACTATGCACCAGGCTGATAATTAGAGAGGAGAGGATACAGAAGAGGTTGGCCATTCTATTGGCACAAATGCTAAAAATACTGTCTAAAATAGAGAAACTAGAAATTGCCCATATAATTCCTATCTCAGTTTTTTTTATATTTTAAAAAATATTTTCCGACCTCCTGTGTCAATTGCATCTATAAGTGCATCGGTATCTTTACTTCGAATACAGTCTATAAGCTGCCGATGTGAGCGCTCCCCAGAGCTATCCAATCTCCTAAGTCCTGGGATTCTGCCTGTAGATCCAGCACTAGACTTTGGCAAAGCTTTCCGTCCTTCAAATAATAGCACCAAGAGAAGGTCGACCAAACGCATGGTATCAAGCACACATCTTTCATCACCCTGCAATGCACTTTCAATTGAATCTGGAAGTTCCGACCTCAGGAGATCCTAGAAAGGGAAAGGGAGAAACGTTTAATATATTTGCATTACACAAAAATACTTTTACCGAAAGATTAAAAATCAAAGATTCAAAAACACTCTTACGTGTGTGACCACTGGAGAGCCTCTGCAAAGTGTTGAGAGCAGGCTTACAATTGTTGACACCTGATTACTCAATTTGGAATCTGCAGCTGTGGAGGGCGCTCCTGTAGTGCTGCGGCCTGGTTTACAAGCGGATGAAGGCCCTGAAACCGTACCACCAGCAGCAGCCATGCGAGATAACAGCTCCTCGGTTAATCCATGCTTGGCTAACGGAGCTGGGTCAACACCACGACGGGTAAATCGGTCAGCGAGTGATGCAAAACACCGAAGAGCTCCATCAGAAACCTAGTGATATCAAGAAAAAGCATATGGGGGCGCCTGGGTGGCTCAGTCGGTTAAGCCACTGCCTTCGGCTCAGGTCATGATCCTGGAGTCCCTGGATCGAGTCCCGCATCGGGCTCC